TGTATAATCCTATAATGTCTCTAACCTTTGCCTTTTGTTGTGTTGATAAATTCCCCTTGTTCCTTTCGAGTTTGCTTTCTAAAGAGTTAATATTTCTTTTTACAGCTTTTGATGTCATAATAATATTTATATTATATATTTTATAGTGTCAATATTTCTTTAAATGCGTGTTTTCTTGAAATGTTATTTAATAATAATTTATAGTATATAATTATATTTTATGTAAAACTTATTTAAAGAAATACTGTGTTAATAATATATTAACAGAATGCCCAGATTATCAAAATATCATGATGTTACTAAGGACTTGAACCCGGATGACTACACAATGGAAGAGATACAAAAACAGATGGCTATATACAACCGCTTGTATTATCTTAAGAACCTACAAAAGGATGGATGGATGGAAAATACAATTGAACAAAGCAAAAAGGCATATCGTCAGAAAGCCATAAAGGAATACATAGAAAAACAAAATATAGATATTGATGAAATTAAAAACCCTCAAGAACTACTTGACAAGCTCACGAAATGAAATACTTAATAATATTATGTTGTCTAATATTATTAGTTATTTAGATTTTTCTTTTTCAATAATTTAGTTTCCAAATATTCTACGCGATGGATTAGTTTTGATAAAGCATCCCAACTAATACAAGCCATTCTGTCATAACACATCGTTAAGTATTCTCCTGAATCATTTACAATATTATATTTAGGATTTGTGTATTGTTGAACATCTTGAGCAATCCATCCTATTCAGTTTTTCTGGTTTTTTGATTTTTAACAAATGTTTTAATCTTAATGTTTTTTACCATATTTATAGTATCATCTTCTACATCTTCTATATTATCTTTCAGTCTCTTATCACTACTTAAATTAAATCCATTGAATGATGAAAATTGTGTATCGTCCAATTGTAAATATTTAGTGCCATCAATATAACTATCAATAGTGCTTACCATTTGCCAGGCATGGATACAGTGCTGAGCGGGTGCTCTTGAGCGGGTGTGCTTACCATTTGTCAGGCATGGATACAGTGCTGCGCAGGTGCTCTTGAGCGGGTTGACACACTCCTGAGCAGCTGATCTTGAGCGGGTGCTCTTACCATTTGCCAGGCATGGATACAGTGCTGAGCGGGCGCTCTTGAGCGGGCGCGCTTAGAATTTGTCAGGCGTCTCTTGAGCGGGTGTGCTTACCATTTGCCAGGCATGGATACAGTGCTGAGCAGGCGCTCTTGAGCGGGTGTGATACAGTGCTGAGCGGGCGCTCTTGCTTACATTTTGCCAGGCATGGATGTGCTTACCATTTGCCAGGCATGGTTTCAGTGCTGAGCGGCTGCTCTTGAGCAGGTGTGCTTACCATTTGCCAGGCATGGATACAGAGGGTGCTCTTCAGCGGGGTGTGCTTACCATTTTTTGCCAGGCTTGGACACAGAGCTGTGCTTACAAGTTGGCTGGCTCAACGCGAATTGCACATACTTGACTTGCAAACACGAGCGCACGCAGCGGCGACGCACGACCCACGGTTTGCCTGCCGCGCGCGCCTTTGCAGTCGAAATGACGTTTTTTGAGCTCCAACATGCACGAAATGCTGCGCCTGCCAACGAAAACCGACGCGCCGCGAAGGTGCCAAAACGCGCATTAACGTGCTGCTGGGGCCAACAACAACACCAACACCAACACCACTACCAGCACAAACACCAACACCAACACCAACACCAACACCAGCACCAACCCCAACACCAACACCAACACCAACACCAACAGCAGCAGCAACAACAGCAACAACAACAGCAACAGCAACAGCAACAGCGAAAGCAACAGCAACCGCAACAGCAACAGCGACAGCAACAGCAACATCAACAACAACAGCAGCAGCAACAACAACAACAGCAACAGCAACAGCAACAGCGACAGCAACAGCAACCGCAACAGCAACAGCAACAACAACAACCACAAAAAACAACCGCAACAACAACCACACCAATCACAACAACCACAGCCAACAACAACAACAACAGCAGCGGCAGCAACAACAACAACAACCGCGACAACAACGACAACGACAACGACAACAACACCGACACCGACAACGAGAACGACAACAACAACAGCAGCAGCAACACCAACAGCAGCAACACCAACAGCAGCAACACCAACAAGAACAATTACATGAACATGAACAATAGCAAGAACAAGACCAAGAGCAACAACAACAACAAGAACAAGAGCAAGAGCAAAAACAAGAACAAGGACAAGGACAAGAACAAGAACAACAACAAAAAAAACAACAACAACAACAACAGCAACAGCAACAACAGCAACAACAGCAACAACAACAACAGCCCACATCAACAACCAAGAACAACAACCAACAACAACAGCCAACAACAACAACAACCAACAACAACAGCCAACAACAACAACCAACAGTAACACATGACCACAAATAACAACAACCGCAACAAGATCAAGAGCAACAGCCAGAACAAGAACAACAACAAGAACAACAACAACAACAACAATCACGGCGGCATGCGTAGCATGCGTGTCGCATGTCGTGCCAGAAGAGGCAGTTCATTGCCCCGTCTTTTTGGGAACATGTCATCCTCCTCGTGAACGGTTCACAAAAGTCTGCCAGCTTGAGCAGGCGTGCTTTTTTGGCAGGCGTGCGCAGTGTTGACCGGGTGCGCTTGAGCGGGTGTCACTACGATTTGGCAAGCGTCTTGACTGGGAGCGCGCTAGTCGTTTTTTTAAAGCACTGCGGGCGTTGGCGGGCTGGTGAGCGAGCTGGCGTGTTCATGGTGGCTCCTTCCCCGGTAGTGAGCGGGTGTGTTTGAGCGTGGGTTCTTCGCACGGCATTGGCGGGCATGGTTGTGTGGGCGAACTCTTCCCACCGCGCTGAGCGTTGTAGCAAGGGCTGTCTGCCAGGCGCAGGAGCAAGGTGGGGTCCTGGGATGCGTAGCCCAAGTGCAATGATTGGGAGCTGGCACGGTGGTCGTTGCGCTCGAGCCTGGCCTGAGAAAGGCCTCGCGGCGCTCAACCAGATAATGCTCGGCGGCTGCTTCGAAGGCGCTGCTCGAGTAGACGCGCAGGTGATGCCACATTTGTTTGCTTTTGTTTGTTGATTGCAGAACGGACCTCAAGTCATCGGGTCTTGGTCTTTTAAAGGCTGCTTCCCAATTTCTCACGAACACAGGTGTCGTTCACCAAGCGCTGCTTGATGTTGGTGCTCAAGTGCTGAAACAACCTGCTTATCTCGAACAAGGCTTCCCTTCTGAGCCTCGGACACTTCACACTTGTCAAACTATCTGGCAAGGTCGCCTCAGATGACTATCTCAACACTGACAGCAACTTTGCGTCCAATGTCAGGAAAGTGCCGGGGCCTGCAAGAGCGTGTCCTGCTTGCCCGTCAAAAAGCTCAGGGTCTCAGGCCGCGCGCGCAGGTGTTCGTCGCTATCTGCTAACGCTGCGTCGGCGACCTGTGAGCGCAAAACACATCACATGCGCGCTGTTTGCGCCGATTTGCTCTTGTAGCAATTGTTGAGAACTTTCATGATTTGTGCCTTGTGCCCTCTGCTCAAGCCTGAACTATGGGGCGTTGCGGGCGGGGGGGGGTGCGCAGCCCCTCCACAAAGCGGGGAGTTTTGTTTCGAGGTAGGCCAGTGTTGCTTGGAGGTAGGCCTTTGTCGTGCGCAGCTACGTGCAGCCAAGCAGCAGCAGCGTGTGACTCGACTTCCTCGCGCCTTGCGTTTGTAGGTAGCTCTTGCCTGTCAATAGAACCCAACGCCAAACAACCAACAACCAACTGCCAACAACCAAGAAGGGGAGCGACAACAACACCAAACAACACCACCGCCGCCAACAACGACGACAACACAGCATCAGCAGCAGCAACAACATCCCCTACCACCATCATCCGCAACAGAAACAGCAACAGCAGCAGCAGAAACAACAAGACCACTAACGCAACAGCAGCAAGTGCAGCAACACAAGAGTGACACTGCCGCCAATAGCAGTAACAGCGGCCAACAACCGCACCGGCGCCAGAAACTACAAGGCAATAGCACCAACAATGACAGCAATACCAACACCGGCGCCAACAACAACGGCAACGACCGCGGCGACGACGACAACAATCGCAACGACAACGAGAGCAACGACGCCGCCAACAAAAAATATCAAGAACAGTAGCTACGGCAACAGCAATCTTAACAGACACAGCAACGCAGCAACACCAACGCTGCCAACATCGCCAACATCACCAACAGCAGGCCACCGCCACCACCACCACCACCAGCAACAGGAAGCAGCAACCGCCGACAACCAACAACCGACATTTCCCAACCAACAGCCGCACCACTACCACCACTCCTGCCAGCAACAGCAGCAGCAGCAACAACAACACTGACACTAACCACGACGTGGCGACATCGCCAACATCAGCAGCAGCAGCAAGAGCAAGAACATGCTCAACAACTACAGCAGCAGCAGCAGCAGCAGCAGCAGCAGCAGCAGCAGCAGCAGCAGCAGCAACCTCAACAGCATTTGCAGCAGCACCGCCAACGACAACGACAACGACAGCCGACAGCGACAACAATAACAATACCAACACCGACAACAACAGCTGCTGGCGAGACACCTTTGCAACATCCACCTGGTTGCTTCAGCTAACCACTTTACGGGCGCATTCATTCTTTGATAGCTTTTCTGTAGTGCTGTTGCCTGGCATTGAGAGCCAAGATGTTGGCAAACGTGTTGTTAGATCAGTTTCTCAAGCAAGCCTTTTGGAGCGAAAGTGCGCCCCTTTTACGGATTTGGATTCTGGGCAACAAATTTATAAGACGCCAGGGATCGTAGGGTATCCGCAATGTTTGGTACCTCGTAGCAGAGGCTAGAAGGCACGATTGCCAGGAGCCATGTCCTTGTATCCAACCAGTTTGTGAACCCTTTTACAATGTTCAGAAAGCTCCAAGCATGCGTTGCATGTGTGCGCAGGAAGGGTCTGTCTTTCGATGAAAAGAAGTCTACCCTCCTGTCTGCCATGCAAGCAGAGGCTGGGTGGCAAGTGTCAGCTGTTCGCAAGGGGGATGCTGCCGACAAAACGGGGCTTGGTGACCTACGCTGAGGCCGCCTTCTTTACGCTGAAGGAGCTCGAGACGCTGGGAAAGTCCAAGGGAGTGATCCCCCAGGCAGTTGCATAATGATAGTGGCAAACCGATTCGGAAATGTTCAAGCGTTGCATTTGGGGCAAGTCCAGTCGCTGCTAATATTTGGACAATTGGCATGAACCCTCAGGCAGTCAAAGAGGTTGTGGAGAGCTTGGTCGCTGATGATGAGGTGCAGAGTGACAAGGCCGACGGATATATGTATATATATATATGCTACCCCCCCCCCCCCCTCCCAGGGACCTACCTTTTGGTTGCCTCTCCAGTGCATGATTTGCCCATCTAGGACTGGGAGGAACGATCTCTCAACTAGGACCACGACCAAATGAGACTAGAACCCAGGATCTCTCAACTGGGACTAGGACCAAACTAGGACTAGACGCCCCACCTCAGATTCTTACAAAAAAAAGTTTCAAGTATAACTTCCTCCGTAATGTCCTGTATACTTTTTAATTATTGCAGTAAACTAGGGAGCAACCTAGCACTAGAACCAAGGATCTCTATCTAGGACCAAACTGGGACTAGACCATTCAACTCTACTTCTTATAGTATTTGGATGTCAAGCATTCCATTCTGGTGGAAAGAAAGTCATGTTTAATATTTGGCTTGAAACAGAATAACCATAAATTATGACTGGATATGTTCTTTACTTTATTCTACTGTTCAGTTAGCAGTTGCATAGAAATTGAGTAATATATTAACTACAATTCATAAGGAACTTCCTTTGCATTGTCCTTTGTACGTTCTATTTATTTCAGTAAGCTAGGACCATACTAGGCCTAGAACCAAGGATCTCCCAACTAGGACTAGGACCAAACTAGGACTAGACCACCTAAGAATTTAACTCTAGTTCTGAAAGTGATTGAATTTCAAGTACAATGTTCTATTGGACAGGAAATCGGTTGTACCATGAAATTTGACATAGAACAATCAGTACTTAAGTTCGAATCTAAATCGAAATTCTGGCTGGAGTATGTCCTTCTTAAGCTCCATTGAATTTCAAACAGAAATTGGGTCGAATGTGATAAAACATATTAAGTGGAATTCATAAGGAAATAATCCAAAGGTCCAAAACTTGTCTTTTCACTAGTCCTAACACTACCATGGTCAGAAAATACCGTAAAACACAGTGTTGTGTTGTGTTTTTCATACTCAATTCACATCTGCACCAACGAACACTCGCTAAATGCTCGTTTGAATTTGAACACGATTTAATTGGGACTCAATAATGAAATATTTGGACAGAATCCCAATGGTAATCAAATCTGAAATTTCGAGTTTAAATAGAGTTCCTTTCCAAATATGTACTTACAATTCAATTAGAGCTTTCACAGGATTCGATAAGGAAAGAACCCAAGCCTGTATTCAACATTCAAGAATCAATATTCTCTAGACAAGTCTTCTTTGCAAACGCGAGTCCAGGCCCGAGTGAAACCCATTGAAACCAACTGAAATTTCAGTTGAGCCTAGGTTCAAGATTCCCTAGAAAACTTTGGCCTACAATCTTGAATGTGGGCCAATATTGAAAAAGATTGAATGACAAATCAGGACTTGGATGCTTGCACAACACTGCCAAAGTACAGCCGCGCAAAGTGCAATGTTGAATTTGGGTCTCGATTTAGACCGATTTAAGCCGATTTAAGTTTAAATCATGCATGGATTCAAGATTCAAGATTCAATAATCCAGGCCACACTTGAATCCAGGCCTCGATTTAAACCGATTTAAACCGATTCAACTTAAATCGGGCATGGATTCAAGATACAAGATTCAAGAATCCAGGCCAACATGTTTTCAGGGAGTCTTGAATCTTGAATCCATGCCTGATTTAAGTTAAATCGGTTTAAATCGGTTTAAATCGAGGACTGGATTCAAGACTCCCTGCAAAAGTTTGGCCTGGATTCTTGAATCTTGAATCTTGAATCCATGCCCGATTTAAGTTAAATCGGTTTAAATCGGTTTAAATCAAGCCTGAAGCTTCCAGAACGTCCTTGGAAATGCTTCTTTTTCATTGCTCTCCCCAAAGCCCAAAAAAGGGTAGAACACACTGCAAATACCAGTGAATTCTTCAAAAAGGTAGGTCCTTGGGGGGGGGGGGGTACCATATATATATATATACATACAGCTTCTTTTTCTTGTTTGGCTGCTGCTAAAAATTGCGAGCCTTGGCTGTGGTTCCGCGAGGTGGGGTCTCAGATTCTCTTCTGGGCGTTGCCTTCGCAGCGGACTGCCACGCTGCAGAACAAGCGTCAGAAGCTCCAGGCGACGGGACAGGAGACGGGAGTGTGGAAGAGTGTGGAACTCGAAATGTGGAAACGAAACAAACACGGAACTGAGGGGGGTTCTTGGGGGATGTCCAGGCTGAGACCAACCAGCTGCAGTCGGAGCTGCAGAAGCTGCAGGCCAGAAGTTGGACTCATTTGAGCATTCGGGGAGTGGTTTCAGCGATCAAAGCTCCCAACATGCCAGCAGCTTGTGTAGCCAGAACCAAAAGTCAATGGATTTCTGGAGGGAACTTGGAAGCGCAAGGATGTGTACGGCCAATGGATGCCTACCGTTGCGGTGTCAGGGTGATGGTTTCTGTGGTGGGGAACCCCCCTAAGTAGGGAGCCAGGGGGCCAGTGTTTTCCTCCCACTCGCGTGCCGAGCTTTGCGTGCCTGCAATACATGCTGACTGGCTCAAGTACTGAACCTGAAGCTTCAAAACCTTTCACTGCAGAGCAAGCATGATTTGTTGCATGAACCGAGGGAGCTACTTGTCCATGAAACAACAGTACACACTCGCTGATGCTTATGTGGCTCCGATGCTGAATGGCATTCGATTCACAGGAGCCATGGCTGCGCATTGGCAGAAGCCTCAGGTCCCAGTCTTTGGGAAGCTTGATTGCAACATATTGCAACATATTGCAACCCTTTAAAACTTAGAGGGGAAACTGTAGCCATGGCTGGAAGGGGCCGTCCTTGAGGCTCACGTTGCGTGCAGGAAGCCGCTTTGAGGCCAGGGCAGTCGCATGCACCTGGGCCGATGCAGCTCTGCGCCCGTCCCTATCGGGCCGAAGGCGGGGAGCATGTACTGCGCGTGCTTCGACTTGGAACGGGTCGCGTGTTGGGAAGGTTTGTGTTTGTAGGCCCGCTGGATTAGCCGGTCAGCAGCCAGCCAGCAGGCTTGGATTGCATTGGGAGCTTCTAGGTCAGGGAACGCATGGCCAGGGGGCCCGGCCAAAGTCCAAGCCGGTTTGGACTCCTCCCACACTGGATCGGCAAGGACTGTGGTGGCTTTGTCACAGATGCATCCAGCTGCATATTCAAACATGCAAATTTTGTGTCCAATTTGGCGTTGATATTCCTTGAGGACTGGCAGGCAGGGCGGGCAACCCCGTGCCACATGTGCTCTTCTTAAGACTTGAGTGCTGAATTCATAAAGTGACCCTCGAGGTGATGACGAGTTTGTCTTCTCCAAGCCGCCCTTCCTTTTTTCGGAGCCGCGGCTCGGCTATACCGAAGCCTGGCATGCCGCGCATTCCTCCAGCGCATGCCTCTGCTGCCACGCGCTTTTTTCAAACAGCTGCAGCTGCATCGCAGAAGGGGCAGTTCGAGACTCTCGGAGTCATAACTAGAACCCACTTAGACCCACTTAGACCCACTTAGACCCATTTACATTAAAGAAATTAAAGTCATTAAAGTCATTAAAGTCATTACAGCAATTGAGGCAATTGCCAGCTTGTGTTCTCCAGAGTCCCTCCATTTCCCTGGCCCTCCGATTGACAGGCCTCGCTCCCACCTCTTTCAGCTCAAGCACAGCTTGCTAATGGGTGACGAAGGAATTGAGGAAGCCGCTTGGACAGCTCCAGCCTTTGGGCCAGCCTCGCTTTGTGCTAAGCTCTGAATGCGAATTTGATATTTCGAAGCTCATTGGAACGGTGGCACGAGGTGCCGCCTGTGCTCGGAAGTGGGGAGTGGGAGCGTCAGCTGCTGATGGCGGAGGAGGAGCCGCCGCAGCCTGCAAAGCGGCCGGAGATGCCATCCAGGCACGCGGTGAGGTTTTTGGACCCGGGACGTGGCACAAAGTGTCAGCGCAGGGGAGCTTCTTTGATTGCTATGATTGCTTCAAGAAACCAAAAGGAAGTCAACCATGTGTAAGGGGCCTGAACTCTTCGCAACATGGCCAATAGCCAACAAATCCTATTCTATCCACGTCTTGCCTTTTTCCAGTGATTTGTGCAGGCATGCCTGTGAACGTTGGAGTACCGGTTCTCGGACATGCGCGCCGGGGCATGCTTCTGCGACCCTGGCAGGCTCAGGCGACAAGACATGGCCCCGAAGTCGCGCGCCAGGATCCTGTGAGGCAATTAGCAGTGGGCTATGGATTTTGGTTTGCAACAGGCCGCCATTCTACACTAGCGGGCACTTTATCCCAAGGATGCCGCCCGCCTTCTTACAGGCAGCGCGACATGATGGCCTTCATCGTGTAAAGAGCCCATCTAGGGAGATGGAACTGCCACTCGACATGCAATTGAGAGGAGGAAACTGGCATCTTCGCAGGGCGGAGCCTTCGGTGTTTTTATTTCTTGTGTGTACAACACTTCCTGTTGCTTCACCTGATCCAACGAAGCTATGCAGGGAGGAGAAACATCCACTGGCAAAGTATGTTGGCAAATTGGAACTGCACTTGGGCGATGTGCATTGACGCCATGCTGAGGAAATTTTCCTTGCCCTTGACGTACTACTCTGTGGAGACCTGTTCGGACGCTGCGATGAAACTGGGGGCAACACGCTCGGTGCCGGGGGGGGGGGGGCTGGAATTTGATCCCAGGAGTGGCAGATGCCGAAGCGAAGCACTTATAAGTCTCCGAAGTCCAGGCTGGGTGGAGACCAACGCGGGACCAAATAAATTCTCAGACGCCGAGTGTCTACCAGCAAACTGGAGTTGCAAGAGATCAGTTAGGGGCGTGATGTGCGTCAAAAGAGGCTTCTCTTGTCTCTTGGCTTGTGCGAGAGGCGTCCCTTGGAGGGCTTGGGTGGCAGGAGCCCCAGGTTGGACAGCTTTTAGCTGTGTTGGGGGAACAGCAGTCAAATCTCTCAGTTCAACTGTCTCAAAGGTCGAGTCAAGCCTGGTGTTTATCGACAACCAGGGCACCTGCCGGTCGAGAGTCCTGCGTGTATCTGGATTGCAAGCAGCATTCTACCACACGCACGTTATATGCATCATGCGCCGGCGGACAATGATTGGCAGGTGAAATTGACACATCGCGCCAGTTTCACGAGTCCGAGATGTTCACTAGTTCGCCTGGTTCACCTTGCACGCCTTTCTGATAGGACCTGCGGTCAGCATCCATTCAAGTGCGTGCCGCATGGCGAGGTATTCAAACAGGAGAACAAGTCATTCCGACCCTTCGTTGGATGGGTTTGGTCTGCTCAAAATCACGGCAAGACCTTTGCTGATGAGTTGCCGGCACTCTACGAAAGGAGATTGCACATAGGAAGGCCAAGGCCTTTTTTTGCACTGATTCAGGGTAGGATCTCTGTGGATGTACAAAGATAACTTCTGAGAAGTTTTCAGTTGAGTTTGGAGGGACAGAAGCAGCTATGCCACTGTGCTACAGAAGTATGCCGTGGCGGTCTGGATTGAAGGGAAGTGATGCAACACATGGCGCATTTTATGGCATTTTGCGACAACTTGGCGATGGTGTGAGAGAATTCGGGTGTGATGCAGAAAGCGCACAGGCCGAGCTTGCGCAATTGTCTTCTCAGTCTGCGCCAACAGAGGCTGGGCATGACCGATCTTTCAACTGGAAGATGTCAATCATATTTTCGATGTTGTGACTCCATTGCGCGTTTCCGCACAAAGGGCAAGAGACCAAACCGGTGCCGTGTTGTTCCTGTCGCAGTCCTTACAGTGCTTAGTGGTTTCGGCCAGGAGGAGGCCGCCACCCTCCGAGCACAAGCGCTGCTGGAGCGCAAGAAGTGCGAGCAGCTGCGTTCCGAGATCCAGGTGGGGGCTGACTTTGAGAGGCTTCGGACACGTTTCCCTGCGTACAACATGTTCATTTGTGCCAAGGTCAACTGACCCCTTTGGTTAAGAGGGACGATCATCCACCTGGTTGGAAGGATCAGCCTTCCGTGGGGTGGTCGTGTGTGGGGTGTTGGTGTTGGGACGCCACCTCGCTCTAGCAGCGGGCACTCATGAATCGAGGGCAAGGTATGGTGGAAGGATGCGTGGCATCCTGCCACACCCAAGTTTGGCCTCAGCTTTTGATCAATCCCAGACGCAGCGGTGTTGAGCTACATGGATGGTACAGCCACCAGCAAGGCGCTGGCTCTCAAAGTGGGCTGGGAATGTTGTGTGATTGGTTCCCGGTTTGCCTACCCCTTGGAGGGAGTTGAAGCCCACGGTTCTGACGCTCGTCAGATTGCGTGCAACCCGGCAGAATTGTCGCCACAGCAGCCTGGACAGCCCAGTGCGTCAAGATCAATGTTCAGTTTCGTTTCTCTCGTGTCGCTGTCGAAAAATGGGGCGGTCACCCTGACGACTTGGTGGTTGTCAATGCCTTTCTTGAGTGGTGTCGCCTGCGTGACCCTCATGACTGCGAAGGACGCTTGGCTCGAACCGCTCATCCTGATGTTGCTTATGACTTGTCGTCGAGAGCCCTTTCTTGGCGTCTTCAGCAACTTGTTATTGGGCCTCTCTCTCAAGCGCCAGAAGCTTCCTGGGCAAGCTTCTTCGCAAGATCGTCGGCTTGTCCGCTCATTTTTATCTTGTCCCAGCTGCCGCTCACACGTCCGGTGTGGCGGTTGCCTGGCCATGATGGACTTAAAACAGCCTTGGGCCATAAAGTTGATTTGAGCAAGGAGTATTTTTGAATGGCTCGCACATTAAAAGTTGCATGTCACTCTCGCAGATATTCAGCCAGGTGTCGTGGAATGGCGTCGCGACCCACAATAGTTGAACGTGTTGTCGCGGAGGCGTTTCAGAGCAAAGGCCCGCGGGCCGCTCTTGCCGGAGGATAGAGCTGACTTGCATCAGCCTTTGACTTTCAAGTCCCTGGGACGGGCCCGGCGCTGCTACTGATATCTTGACTGCCGCTGAGCTTCTTCGAACTTTCTTAATCGAGGCAGCACCCCTTAAACAGGTAATTGGGGTGAATCGCAAAAAGAAAATTCGGCACATGCTTCGGCGCAGGGGATGGCCTATATGGAGCTCAGGCGATCCGCGGTTTCTGTGTGAAATGGAAGACCTTCTTCACGGAGGTCAGTATGCCCAAATGCGAAGTTGTTATTTCCGACGAGCTCAACCAGTTAGTCATGGATGCTCATATCACGGTCGAGTCTCAAATTCGATGCTACTTGCAAGGCTGTAGGCCTGTCGATTTGTATGAATTGAAGCGTTCGCGAGAGGTGTATAAACGACCATGGGCCATAATACGAGTTTTGACCATGGCGGATTTGTTCTCATGGCTTTTTGCGGAGACCATCAGGGGCACTGTGGCGTTGTTTACGATATCATCATCTTCCTTTGTTCCGTCGCTCACGTCGCGTAAGGCAACCTTTCGAGGGACGCTTTCCCACATTGCTTGAGGGTTGATTAAGCTAGAGTTTATGCTTCAGGCCTATGAGAGATGCGGTCCGGCCAAGCTGGCGGAGATGAAGAAGCAGACAGCGATTGCCAAGGATGGCAAATCGCTTGGTTCTTGATAATTGCAGAGCGATTTCTCTGAGTCGTCCGAGCAAGTTTAAAGCAAGAGCACCAGGAAGCTGCCAACCGCTGGGCAGACAATATCTGCAGCGGCCCCAAAGCCCCAAGCAGTGCAGCTGCACGCAGGCAGGGATGTAAAGGACAGGCCAACACTGCAGAAACCAAGGTGCAGTCCGCTCTCTCTTCTTGAGGCACCGGGTGATGCCATTGTGCTTTCACCCATTAGTTCTACCCAATGAACTTGTGCAGCATGACTGAAAGCTAGCGGGCTTTCTGAAGACTGCCGTGTCCCAGGGAACGCCGCGGCGAAGTGAGTGCGGTGCAGTTCAATCAGACCTTCGGGTTGCCGGAGGACTTTGATTATTTGGAGTGACTGTCTGGGTACCAGAGTTCATGCTGAACCTAGGCGTCATAATGGTAGCCCGGATTGGCCTTGAGGCTCATGGGTGTGCCTTCAGCAGCCATTGACCTACATGGGCGGTGAGTGTGCGAGCCACTATCTTTATGATCAAACAATGAACATTTCACAGTTTTGTCTACTTATTATTTCACACACACACGCGTAGATTTCAAGAAAACTCTTGCCGCCTTTGGAGGCCTCAAGAGTATGTATGTGACACATCCCTGACCCTGCTTACAAAGTTATCAACATTGTCAGTGCCTGCTGAGGCAGTGTATGTATATGTAAGTACAGCGTTGGAACCTTGGACGGGTTTTGGTGGCATCTGCGGGCGATGCACCCAATTGCCGTCTTCGCGGGACGTGGCCGGATATATTTTCTGGCAGCTCTTGTGCAAGCAGTGCCAAAGACATCCGTCGCATGTCAGTTCGGATTCCAAAAGAAGACCAACATTGAACAGGCCGATTTCTCCTGGAAGTGCTTTGTTTCTTGATGGGCAAAAGGCAATTGTGCATCAAGAAAAGCTGTGCTTTTGCAGCACAATGTGAACAGTGTCAAGCAGAAGTTGTGGGAACTCAGGGATGCTTCTTCGGGAATTGTCTTCGGCATGTACCTTTCGTGACGTGTTCCGAAACTTGCTCTTGATGACGGCGATATGTTGTCCTGACTTCTTGTAAGGCTCAGATGTTGAATGCATTTGCAGCGGACTGATGTAGGAGCTGCTTCGGCATCTAGATTCTGAGCACTGTTGCGAGCAGATTAGTGCTCTAAGTCTGCCACACCAGGCCAGCAAGGCTCACATTCACGAAGGTTGCAGGTTGCGCAGCTGTGGCGTAGGGCTACGCAGCCGAGCTGACACGAGCAGGAGCTACAATTTGCCAGTTCTGGCTGCGATTCAGGTATCTTTTTCGGACCGTGTCAGCAATCTTTTTTGCAAGAAGTGAGTCCTGGCGACCATGTGTGTTGACCTCAAACACATGGAGCAAGCCTGACAAGCCATGGATCATTCCTATGCGGGACTTTCTTGCTGGTATTGCTGCCAGCCAGCTGACATTGCGCTGGCGTAGGACACGGGCAGACGCTTTGGAGTGCATGCGAGGAACGGTGCAGACAAATTGTCCTGCTCCCCACGTTGTTATAAGCTTTTCTTGCTCTTCAGCAGTCCCGATTTCTGGAGTGGCATTTCAGTTCGAAATCCAATCCGGGTACCCTGCCAGTGTTTGTGGCATTGATTGGTGCAACCCCGCGATAGCGCAAGACGAAGATCCTGATATCGCACGTTGCGTTCACGTCTCACGCTGTTACCGAGCATCCGCTTCCGAGGGGCAGTCATGGGATGTGTTCGTGGGTTTGTTTATGTTTGTTTCTGAGTGAGACTCTGGCATTGACCGTGTGAGGAGAATACCATCGCATTGCGAGTCTGATGAAGGCCTGCGTACATGATGGCTGCAGTGTACTCAGGTCTGAAAGAGGGTGCAGTCTGACAGTGCAGTTTGTTCAGTAGCCTTGGCTTAGAGCTCACCTAAAAAGGCTAAGGCCAACGGCGCGTACCAGAGGTGTATTTGTCTCCTTAGAACCATGCTTTGCAAATGGAAGGCAAGTGGCGGCTTGACGTCGATCGACTGCCAGAGACCCTGCTAGTCAAATTGCTGCATTTTCATGTGACGTACCTTAGGGGACTCACTTTGCCCAGCTATTCAATAGGCAGATTCATTTTCACGTCGTTTGAGCTGGCTTTGTGGCCTTTGGTGCTAGCATTGGCTGGCTGAGGAATTGGTACCATCATTGGCGTTCCCATCTTTGGCTCCCCAGGCGGTTGGAAGCTAAGCAGTTAGGGCACAATACGAATGAGGAGCCCAGCATGGCAAAAGTGACGCGAATTTGGCAGCTCATCACTTGACATGAGGAAGCAGGCAACCAGACGCACTTGAATACATTGAGCCGCAGAGTCAGATAAAGGCATGTGTAGAGGCAAGCGGCACTGGCATAATCCGATTTTCGGCAGACTGGAATATTGTTTTGAAATGACATATCGCGAGCCTTTTGCTGTTTCGCCGCCGCCAATCAGTTTCTCTTTGTTTGACTGGCCTGGCTGAGGGCACATTCGGAACCAGTCTAGATTCTATGCGTTCTGTTGTTTGGCTATTTATGCAGCATGCAGAATATGTTTTGGCATGCGATTGCTTTGTCAGTGACTGGTGGCAGTCACATTGATAGGTCATGAAGACTCTACCAGAGTTGCAGCTGAACGTTTTTCCATGACTTCCATTAGGCCAAATCCCGAGCCTACCCTTCACGCACCCAGCAACACGTCCAATTTCCGGAAACGAACAACGGCTTGTCTAACGTTGGGAGACGCGAACTTCGGCATCCTTTTCCACGTGCTTAGGACAGGTTGGAACGTATTCAGCAAGCCAGCTGTGCTTTAGCACAAGCACGCTGACACTTTGTATATGTGCAAAGTTATAGTAGGAGTTCCTGTACAACTCAAGCAAGTCATGCTCAAGCAGCGAAATGAGTATATACAGGTGCAGTAGCACCGGCATTCAAGCCATCAAGCTTGCTTCTGTTTCCACTCACTCTCAAGAAGAGCTGAAGCAGGGTATGTGCCGGGAGTCACTGAGGCGGAGAAACTGGCAGCTGGACAAAGTCCTTGGGAGCACCAGCTCTGGGATGCACTAGGACCAGCAGCCCGTCTTGAGCATCGTGATGCAAGCGACGGTTGGCAGCACTTCCATTCGCTCTGGAATTCAGGCAACTGCAGTATTGCAGAAAGGATCCATGCTTCCTTCTGGGTCTAGCAAGGGCTTTGCTTGTTGACTAGCATCCATGCAGGACAAATGCTGTCACATCCGCACTGCAGGTCGCCAATGTCTACAAGAGTCTGATGGCTCAGCTCTCACCATCAACTTTCCCCAAGACTCTGGTCGGGCTCAATGTGCTCGCGTTGACCGTCAGTGGCCCAGAGTTTCGCACATTCGCCTCCTGCTTGTTGCTGTCATGGTCTCGCGTCTCAGGATCGCATCGAGCGCGTGCGACATGGCAAGCCTCAGAGCCGTCAGAGGAATACCGAATCAACGGACAGCCTGTCAAGGGGACAGGACAATTTGCTGGAAACTCTTCGCTACATGCGCATGGCAACCGCCGCCTATGGACGGGTGGCACTCAACCCAGGGTCAAAGGCTGCCATTACGCAGAGCAACTTTGCACAATTGCTTTGCGAGCATCTCCGTGGTGACCTAGCTGTCGACCAGGCCGAGTATGGGAAGGGAGTGCATCCAGTGTTGGCATAATATGTACTCATCCCGAGGTTGAAGTACCCCTGCTGTCTATGCGCGCGCGGTGGTTGCTCCCTGCCCACTATTTGCTGGTGGATAAGCATCGTCGAGAAGTAGTCGTTGCAGTGCGAGGCACGTCGGCACAATGCCAGAGTAGGCGAAGCATTGCAAGGGGTCAAGTCTGTTGGGCTGTTGGTTTTGGTGGAGATGTTGAAGAGGCACCCTCAGCGTGCACGACGTGCTGACTGACTTGGGAGCGGAGGAAGTCGACCTAGTTTTGGGCGGCAAGGCGGGGAGGCGGTGGCTCTAGGTTTGCCAAATTTTCCCAGTGCGCTCATCATTCGCATGACATATGCCAGGCACGGAAGGCCCACAAGAACATGCTTCAGAGCGCCTGCAATGTCTTGCGGGTAATCTATCCGGTGCTTCAGAGAATCTCAGACGTGGACACCATTACTTTTACAGGTCATAGTTTGGGTGGTGGAGTCGCTGCATACCTCACCATGCTGTTCCTTGAAATGGAGCTGCCGAGTGCCGACGGCTCTATACACGTGCAGTGCTTTACCTTTGGCTCTCCTGGCATTTGCCCCGCTGCTGTGAGCAGATCGTTAGAAGATCGCATCGTGTCGTATTGCCACGCACAAGACGTGGTCCCTCGACTTTCCGCAGGGCATTTGCTTGAGCTGCACGGGCGCGCGGTGCTTGCCGCCTCGTTGACGAGTGATGTAGTCCGGCGCTTGGTGTCCCAGGACCCAGCAGCCCTTTGGAGGGCAGTGCGGACCATCCCGCAGGACTTGCAAGAGGCCTTCTCAAAGAGCACCATCGAGCCCGAGCGGCAGATCACAGGGGACTCCCCTGAGCTGCTGAAGCTGTACCCGGCCGGCCGCTGTTTTTTGGTCCAGACCGATGGTGAAGTGGAGGAGCTTGATCCCGAAGACCTGGCCCCCTGCATCTATTTGTCTGGTGGTCACCGACTGGTCGTTGACCATCTGCCTAAGACCTACGAGAATGCGATACAAGCCGCTGTCAAGCGAGCACAAGATCTGGGCAGCACTACAGAGCTGAGTAGATCTCGACTGTAAAAAGCGGCTGGGGCAAGCCTGAAGACGGGACTGGTAGACGGAAGTGGCACCCGATTTGTGCTGAGGTTTGGACCTCTTCTACTTAGGCTTCAAGTTGCGCGGCTTGCTGAAGTTGAGAGCTCAACATGCAAAAGAAGTGCTTGTCGGATGGTTCAAGAGTCTTGGGTTGTTCCCAGGCTGATTTCTCTGGGCGGCTGCGGCCTGTGGCGTTTGTCTGAGCACTTGCGATTCCTTGAGCTTGCAGCACGAATGAGACACGCCGGTAAGGGACGAGTGATGGGTGTGAGCAACACTTCCAGGTGGCTCTTTGACGTGGTGCGGATTGGCTGCGCCCCATCATATGCTCTGCACTTCAGAGTGACCAATGCCTGGGATCCTAAGGGATCCTACCCATTGTCAAGTTGTGGACAGATTTGCAGCATAAATTTATAAAGCATTGCAACGCATTTGTTGTTGCAGTGAGCTGCCCAAGGACCTTCCACACTGGGTCTTTGTATTGGTCCTCGTCCTGCTGTTTGGAGGGGGCGGCTTGGTGTATTCGCTGTCCTCGTGCGCAGGGGCCAAGCTTTGCCGAAATCGAACACCTTTTTTGACCTACAAAATGTTTATTCCAGGTACGCCAGATATCGCAAGCTGAAGACTGCGGAAGCCGGAAAGAGCCTTGACGACCTTGACAAGCATGGTTGGTATATTTGTTTTGGTAAGAAGTGCGTCAGTCAGTCAGTCAGTCAGTCAGCCAGCCAGCCAGCCAGCCAGCCAGCCAGCCAGCCAGCCAGTCAATTTGTCAAATTGTCAGCTACTTGGCTATTTCCGAATTTGCTGGTTTCTTCATGTTTGCTTCTATCAATACGAGTTTTTCATGACGTTTATGTTTGCGTGCTTATGTGTTTGTATACGTGAGTCATGCAGCTTCATGAAAAAGCCACCTGAGCAACTGAATTACCGAGTGGATGCAGTTCGCAGTCAACTGAGGATGCACGGCCAGCGCCCTTTGCCTCAGGTGTTTGGATGTTTGTAGCATGCCTTTCATGAGGTGAAGACATCGCGATGGATCGGCCAGACGGCGGTCAGCCTGTGAGGTGCCTGTCGCGACTTGAGGGCATTGGATGTGCAGCTGCCTCCGAAAGGTTCAATTCCAGCTTTGGTCAGGATCTCAGCTGAAACGAAATTTGCACGGTCCCTGTGCAGCGCACCAGCATTTGCTGTGTTGGAATGTCAGGTTACTCGGGGTATGGTGCAACCCTGTCCTAGCAAAAGACACTGAGACTTGCATAGCTATCCGGTTTGCATGTACGCGTCTCAGAGCCGTCGACCGGACAAAGAAAAAGACGCACGTGAGCACAGCGTGCTGCAAGACATCACGTGCTCTTAAGACCATAGGATGTTTTGTCAGATGAGGATCATTTATGTTTCAGAGTTGAATGACCATCAACATTTTGGTGCAACACCAAGCATAAGGGGAATTTGCAAAGTGCCTCTGGTGAACAGAGTTGTTTTGGAGGATGGAAAATCGAAGGACGACCACAAGGGCAAAGGAAAAGAGAAAGGAAAGGCGGGGGATTTATTTTGTGCTGTCGGCACAAACCCTGACAAGCACCAATGAACGCATTGGTGATATTCTCACTAGTGGGAAACTGTCAGGTTGCAAAGGGCGACATTGGAAAGGCTGGGATAAGTAGAGTCTTAGAGTCAGCAAGCAAAACAGTGTGACCGCAAGTAGCTGCCGGCTCGTAATCTAAATCCAATGCTAGTTGCCATGTCCTATGTGGAACTTTTGTCTCCGCATGCAAGAAAAACGCCTTTCAGGGCAAAGGGGACAAGGGAAAGTGCTGGACTTAGCAATGTGCGTGCAGCCGAAAGGTGGTCAGGGCTGCCGTCTGATTTGAAAGCTTTGCAGGGGCAAGATTAGCAGCAAGGGAGGCAGCCGGCGCATCTCAGCGGCATTTAGTCGAACTAGAGGCCCTCTCCTCATGCCATGGTGGGAGGCGATGGTGCTGCCATTGGAGAGCTTTTGCCGGAGACTAATGAGGAGGCAGTCCCTTGATGTTGCCAGAAAGCCAATTGATACGACATTGCTCTGATGCAGCTTTCGTCATTTGGCAGGTGAAAAAGGAGTATGAGAAAGAATTCGATGTTACTGCCGCCAACCAAAAGTCCTCGGCTCGTATGGCCTTTTGCGATTGATTGGTTACCTCAAGCCCGAGCGTGCCTCAACGAGCACCCCAGGTTTGACAAGGCCGCAGTAGCCCAGGAGGGCTCAGAAGGCAGGGCGCTCCAAGGGCAGTCAAGGCCCTTTCAATGCATGCGCAGAGAGGTTCAAGTGGTTTCCTTCGGGTGTCATGCATTTTGAAGGTCTTTTTTCCAGTGCTTTATAGCTTGCTAATGACCAGAACAGGCGAGTCGCTGAAGCCCCTGCCTGGCTATGACAAGACCAAGTCCTTCTTTGACAGCATCTCCTGCGAGGCGCGAGACTGTTTACCTGAACAACTCCTCTGCTAGCTTTCCTCACAAGGCCAGAGTAAGACCAAATTTTCAAGAAACTGCGCCCACCCTGCCGTTGAAGCCATTTGGCCACACGGCGACTCAGTCAATTCCTCCCTCACCGCACAGGCCACCGAGCGCTCTGGTGCTGCCGACCGGCCCAAGGCAACTGCCTCGGGTGCACTTGTGCACTGCTTTTGCTTCGTCGGGTCCATTTGGGATCCGATTCGATCCAGAGAGTGAACTCGATGGGGCAGTTGTGATTGACTTGGATGGTCTGGCTCAAGCTTCAGAACACAAGGACCACGAGAAGCAGCATGCAGAAGCAAATTGTGACGTGTTTGACGTGTCATTTCATGGATCAGCCAGCTCGAGGCAAGGAGGACACCAACTGTGGACCATCCACAAGGAATCCAGGATCACGTGTCGTGCCTGCGAAGATGAATTTGATTCTGTAAGGCTGAAGCCTTGCTCTCAGGTTGTTATCAGAGCCATTTCATCGGACGTTTGTGCTGAAAATTCAGAGCTCAGCTGAAGCCGGAGCAGATCACCTGAGGTATGGCAGTTGAGGGCTACCTCCAGCGAGAGGATCAGGCGAGATGGGAAGCGCAGATGAAGGCCAAATTTGGACAACAAAAAGACTGTACGGCTACCCAAATATGTGGCTGTGGGTCAAAACGAATGGGACCATTTTGAGGTAGGTGCACCAACCATTTTAGTCAATTTTAGTGGGGATGGGGATGTTCACTGGGGGCACAATATTTTGACCTATGGCTATGTCTTAATCGTTCTTAACTCGTAACGGCCTTTGATGGTGCCGGATAGCCGGTCACTTGTTGGAAGTCATGGCTGCCCTTGCAGCAACTCTGTGATTTTGTATGAGCAGTTCCTCTCCCTTGTGTGTGTGTGTGTGCGGAGTGTCAGATTTACCCTGACACCACCTTTCTCGACGTGACCATGTTTGTCAGCAGGGGAGTGCGGCATGACTGAGGGACCGCACTCAACGAAGCTACCTCAGTCATGGGATACCGGATCTGATCAATCCGGCGTACCTGCTTTCCGTGATTCTGAATGTCCTTTTGGCCCCCTTGGTGGCGGCGCTGTTTGTGCTTCTTGTTCTCGGGTAACGTTTTCGTCACTAGAGGGAAACCGAGTGCATCGCGAGCCGAAGCTTATCTTACTCGCGACTTATCAGTTGTACTCGAGACTCATCAGTTGTACTCGAACGATTAGCGTCCTCCCTTGGGAGTTGAAGTGTGATCACCCCATCTTGGGGGAACCTCGGGTGTACCCATCGTGTGACCCCGGGCCGGTTCGCCGGACACTTTGACCTCAACGTTCATATCATAGTCCAGCGGAATTTCACGTTTAAGCAGGAACAAGGTTTCACTAAAGGGAAGTCAGCCGTCAGTTCATAGCTAAGTTTCACCAACTCTGATACTGTGTGCTGACCGTGTGACGTTTGGCCTTGTATTGATTTGAGCTTGGCATGATCTTGCGTTGACTTGCATCTTGTTGGACTCAGTTTTCTCAAGTTTGAGTTGGTACACCTACTGGGTTCGCTGAGCCGTCACGTCACGCCGGGATGATCTTGACAGATCCAGAACTCGACGCCGACGAGACAGGAGTCTTTCCCAGACTCGTAAAGTTCGCAGACGAGATTATGACTCCGCCCCGGTCTCGGACGGCATGGATTGGTCCAACCCGCTGACAGGTCAGCGCAATCCCAACTCTTCCAGTTCCTTTCCGCTGACTGTCGCAGAACAACTACCTGCAACACCCTCCGCCAGCACAGGCCCATCATTCGACACCATGCTTTCACCAGTACCCTCCGGTCAACTACATGATGCCGTTCCCTCCGGAGCCCGCACCCGCCAAGCTCATGAAGACGACGATGGTGCTACCTGATAACCCACATGGACGCTAACCGGAACCTGCAGCAGCAACTGGTCACCCCGCTCCGTTACCAGTGCAACCTAAGAAGGCTTGCCTTGCCCCACCGGAGGAGTCACAGCCCGAAAACGGCTTGCTTGACAAAACTCCTCTCTATTCCTTCACACTACCCATGACAGTCGCCACCACACCTCACAATTCGCACCGCGACATGTCGGGCATGGACATTCGCGATGTTCGCCTGGTTCAGGTCATCCACGGCGGCATTTCGAACTGGCTACTGCGGCCGTTTGCACACGGACGATTTGTGACGTGGGAAGGATGTCGCACTTCGCTTGAAAACTTGTATGTCATTGCCTTGCGTGCTTGTCATGACTTGTGAGTTGTCTTGCATTGCATTTGTCTTGTTCATTTGCACAAGTGTCATCATGTACATCTGCGTGACTTGAACATTGCTTTAAGTGTATGCATATCGCTGCCACCTTGCAGCTGAGCTTTTCCAGTTGTGCATCATGTGGACTGAACTTCAACGCAGTGGAATCTTTGATGAAGTTGCACAATGCGTACTTTGTCTACCTTTCTGGAAACATTGACGTTTATCTCAGCATGCTGTCCGTTTTTCTTCCCTGATCTCCCACTACCAACGGTGCCCCCCGATGAGTATGAATCAATTCACCAGTTACCTCATTTAGACGTGGTCCTGGAAGTGCTCACCCTTGTTCGCATCGCGCTCCAGATTCCGATGACGGCGGTGTCCCACACCCGACATGTGGTGGCCAACAGGTACGAGATTCACAGATGCAGAATGATGGCGTATCTCCTTGTCTGCTTCTTAGAGCGACTTATCTCGCAGGACAATGGATACATCCCTCCGTTTTTCGAAGTACTTCACTTCTACAAAACGTCGCTGCTCCGTGAGATCATGTACTCTTCATTCGCAGATCAGCGGCACCTCAAATCACTCCGTGCTCGCCTTCCAGACCTATACGACTTCATACAAGATCCGGGACATTATCAGCAGCCCTGCGTCTACGTTAGGATCTCACCATGGCATAGTCCATACTACATTGGAGCCACAGATCAGGATGTTCTGCGCAGGGTCCTGTTGTCGCAAATATCTACAACTTCTACGTGGACAGCGTGCCTTTTTTTGAACCAGCACTTCATTCTGGCAACGACCAACAATTACTGGCTATTCTGCGCGATTCCTATTGAGATCCGACTCCCTACCTTTTCGGTGTGGGTCCAGGAAAGTAAGTGGCAATATACGCTTTGACCACACTTAAATGCGCCCTGGGTACACAGACTTCTTCGGAAAATTGGCTTCCGTGAACATTTGGTTGACTTCAGACGGCACTCGCTCTCATCGCCTACGTCATTGTTCACAAGCGGTTTCGACGGTGACTGCATCCCAATTTGTATCGTCAACTTCGTCCTGAAATGCTGGACGATATTCAGGCCCATTGTTCTACTTTGTATCAGTTAGGATCCAACACTGGTGCGTCGTTCCAAACCATGCGAGACTTTTACGGCAGCCTTTCCAAACCGCGTTTCTCAATCGTCACTTTTATCGGCAGCCTTTCCGCCGACTCAGCTTTACTATTTTCTGCGACTAGCAGCATTTGTCAACGAGCCGTTCCGTTCCAAGGCGCAGAAGCTTCTCACTCAAGTTTTGCACAAGCAAAAACTCCAGGTACCTGCCACGTTGACACACTTACTACTTCCGCCTCTACATGCTCGAGACTGGAAAGCCAAACTCGGAACCTGGTTGCGGCGGTGGGTGGCATTGAGTCGCAATCTTTTCCCTTCACTATTCCTGCCCAAGATCCGAGTCGTTGAAACTCGCAGTGCGACCCTAATAGATCGCGTTTACAACTACCGCAAATGGCAGCAACGATGGGCCCCGGACATTACTTTTCCGTGCTGCTGCATCGATGTGGATGACCGCACTACTTTTCGCGCGCATTCTCATGCTGTTATTTTGAATGAGTTCCATCGCATCAATGCTGACATTGACGCTGACATTATGTCCGCCTCCATGAAGGATCAATACTTTGGTGATGTTGATAAACTTCAGCAGCGTTTTGCTTTACAGCTCTGCAAATTGGCTCGACGATGGAAGGTCCAAGGGTCCAGCTTTGATGACGATTCCCGGCCCATCTTGTCTGAGTTGTTTGATCAACATCGCTCCAATGTCCAAGACCAGGCACACTGGCATTACAACCCACGGCACGTGCCCTTACTACGTGGGTTGTCATCCCTGCGGATAATTTCCCCTCGCGTGCTCACGTGATTTGCCCGGCCTTGTTCTCTACTCTATTGCTCAAGACCTTTTGTACAGGAGATGTATTTGCAATATGCAAAGAGTCTGCCGCCTCCTTTCGCGCCGAAGTTGTGACCCTGATGCCCCCTCGACTACAACAACGATATGCCTGAAGACTACAACTTCAAGCTCCTCTTCCCACCGCTCGCATCCTGCCCAAGCCTACCAAGGACTGGCTAAAAGCCAGACCAATCATTTCCTTCTTCCGCACCTGGGCTGCACCTCTCCTCACGTCACGGTCTTTGCATCGCTCACAAAAATCACCTTTCCGGTCTGGGAGGCATTGTCGTCCGCGGACCCCACCGACTACATACAGTTGGTGTCACAAGATTTGTCCGGTTTCTTCACGTCCATTCCCACAGAACGATTTCACCAAGCTCTTCAAGTTCTTCTTCATCGATATGATCAAGCGGTGAGCCTGCGCAACGTGTCGCACTGGTCTGTCTATGAGGTAAAGTCTGATCATCGACGGCGCATGTTCAAAGGAAAATGGCGCCGTCAAACAAAGGTCCCCCGGATTTTTCGCGAAGAGGATCTACAGCTTCTCCTCGACTTTGTCATCAACAACAGCCACTTTGACATCAATGGCTACTTGTTTAGACAAGAACGAGGCGTGGAGGATTATTTCTGGCATCAGACCATGATTTCTCTTCGGTTTCATATGCCCGACTTTGGTGTGCTCTGGCATGAGCGCTATGTGGACAATCGCTTCATACTATTACGCGACTCAGCGCCACCGTCAGCAGTCCTCAGGAATTTTCTCTCACTGGAATTTTATCGACCACCACTTCTCCAGGAGACACAGAATGACACCAAAGTACTTGGATACATGTGTGACTCAGCATCCAGAACGATTACACCACAGCTACCTGATCATCCGTCTCAGATCAAAGGCATACGCAGCGCCAACGACCAGCTCTGTACCTACTCTTCGTGGTCATCCAGATCGTGGCTCATTGTGCGTGGAGCGCAACCCGTCGTCCAGCAGCAGGTTGGCCTGGACGCGCTAAAACGTCTTTATGAAGCCAAAGGCTTCAATTCTGACCTCCTACGAGATGTCCGGCGGCGAACTGTACCAAAATGAGCATGTTGATTTGTTGTGTGCCTGTTGTCGTTTGTCAATCCGCTTTGGACTTGTGTGACCGTGCGCATGTTTGAGGTTGGCTCGGACTCAGTGGTTGGTCTTCGTTTCTTTTCTTGCTTTGCTCGCGGCATGGCTTCGGCACCTCCGCTTCCACTTGACATTGCCGATTCAACCAGACGGTCACCTCATGCGGTTTACACGGTGAGCAGTTTGCTGCGCCCGGATGGAACGGTGCAGACTACCAGTCAGGTAACCTTGGACCAGTTCCCCAACTTCATCAATGGCAATGAGGTG